CATATTTCTTTGTTCTATCACAAATGCCTTTTTATAAACAGTGATCGTCGTAGTTATGAATTAATGAAAAAGTATCACTGTCTTTTATTTATTAATATTTTACATTCACATAAAATATTTTATAAATTTTTTCAATGTATCCATGATTTATTGTATCCTAAATTTTTAAAATTGTTGTGTCCTCATATCCTTGTAGAATTTGTACCATGGTAAGTATTCATAAGACCCTGGTAAATTATTCATAGTGTATATTTCCAGTAAATTAGAACAAAATATAGGGGTAAATATGACATTAAGCTTATTTCCCCATCTTAGTCTTCTTAAGAATTGAATTCATTAAGGTTCTCGTGGTTTGATTCCTGATTTTTTTTCTTATATTTTTTACCTTTAGTTTAACTGTTTGAACCTTATAAGTTGTTAATGAGATGCAGGTAAGAATTCTTTTATCTGGTTAGGACCAACGCCAAGAGTGACCATCATGGATCCGGAGCAAATCAAAGATGTATTTAACAAAATGAATGACTTTCCAAAACCTGATGCAAATCCACTTGTGAAGTTACTGGCAACAGGCCTTGCAGGCTATGAAGGAGAAAAGTGGAGCAAGCACAGAAGGTTAATCAACCCTGCTTTCAATTTAGAAAAACTGAAGGTCGGTTACTTGCATTTCCATTCATGTTCTGTGTTTGTTTTCTTCTTCTTTAACAAGGAAAATTTTACGTTACCCAAAAATGAAGCATAGATTTAGCATGCAACATATTTTCATACCAAATACAGTATATAATTTAATATAAAAGGGTACCCCAATCTATATATACAATATCTAAATTTCATTAACTTGAACACATCAACCACCCTTGTGTTATCTTTTTTAAAGATGATGTTGTTTCTATGCAAACATGTAATTCAGACATAGACAATGACTCAAGCTACCAAACTTGTAACTTCACCCATGTCAGATTGCAACTATACGTTGTAAAAGTTGACTCTTATACCACTTAAAACATAATTTTCAAATAGACAACAAAAGCATGCAAGAAGAAATGAGGTGACGAGTATATCCGGCCTGCTATTTTTATGCAACCATGTCGCATGCTGCATAAACTTTTCTGAATAATGTAGATTTGTTTTATAAGCAATATGCATTGAATTTGGATGTTTTTGTGGTTAGCTTGAGCGGGTGATTCTAACTCTCTGTGATTTGCTTATTATAACACAGACTATGTTACCATTATTCTTCGAAAGTTGCATTGATCTGGTTGGCAAATGGGAAGGAATGTTATCTTCGGACGGATCATGTGAAATAGATGCATGGCCTTTCCTTCAGAATCTAGCTAGTGATGTTATCGCTCGATCAGCATTTGGAAGTAGCTTTGAAGAAGGAAGAAGAATATTTCAACTTCAAAGAGAGCAAGCTAAACTCGTAATGGAATTTCTCTTAAAAATTCAAATCCCTGGATGGAGGTAACTTGATGGTTTGATTTGATGACTAAAGCCAATTTAAGTTTATTAATGGAGTTTTGTTTCTATAAAACTTCTCTTACTATTATAGCTTGTAAATGGGTCTGATGGGTCACATTAAAAAATTAAATGGAACTAATCCAATCAATATTTTCATATAGTGAACCAACAATTTACCTAATTTAATTTATTATACAATTTTTTTAGGGGATTATGGGGTTTCTGATAAATTTTATAGGAAAAAAGTTCACTCAATGTTAATATACTAACAACTAAACTTTGTCATAATGAATCTTTATGCAATACATCATACTTTTATCATTTAATATATAATGTAGGAAAAGATACGTTTTACCTAAATTTATAGCTTGTAATAGCAAAACTTTAACAGTTAGAAAACCAAATTTTGTTTATTGTCAATATATATTGAGTTAGCAGAAAAACATCTTCATATATATGAAATTAATGGGAAGAAACAATGTATATTTGTAGGTTTTTACCTACAAAAACTCACAGGAGGATGAAGGAAATTGACAGAGACATAAAAGCTTCACTTAAGGATATGATTTACAAGAGAGAAAAAGCACTAAAGGTGGGTGAAGCCACTAATAATGACCTATTAGGTATACTTTTGGAGTCCAATCAGAGGGAAATTCAAGAACATGGAAGCAAAAAAAATAAGAATGTCGGAATGAGTCTTAAAGATGTAATCGAGGAATGCAAGTTATTCTACTTTGCAGGACAGGAAACCACTTCAGTTTTGCTGGTTTGGACAATGGTGTTACTGAGTAGATACCCTACTTGGCAGGAACGTGCAAGGGAGGAAGTCTTGCAAGTATTTGGGAATCAAAAGCCAAATTTTGATGGTTTAAGTCGCCTGAAGATTGTATGTATTATACTAGTTAAGAGTGAAATTAATTTCTAGAAAAGATAAGAATGTCCAATTTTAAATGGTATGTCATTATACTAACTACAATCGTTTATGTATTTGTATCAGGTCACCATGATTTTCCATGAGGTTCTTAGATTGTACCCTCCAGCACTTGGGATGGTTCGACTTGTTAAAAAAGATTTGAAACTTGGAAACTTTACATTACCTGCTGGAGTGGAGGTTTTACTCCCAACTGATTTGGTTCACCGTGAGTGTGAATTATGGGGAGAAGATGCTAAGCAGTTCAATCCTGAGAGATTTTCGGAAGGAGTTGTAAAAGCAACAAAGGGTAGAGTTTCATTCTTTCCATTTGGATGGGGTCCTAGAATATGCATTGGACAAAACTTCTCCATGTTGGAAGCAAAGATGGCTTTGTCAATGATTTTACAGCATTTCTCATTCGAACTCTCTCCTGCATATGCTCATGCTCCAACTATGTCAATTACTCTTCAGCCACAGTTCGGTGCTCATATCATTCTACATAAAGTGAAGATGTGAGAGAAAATAATCGGCTCTTGTTGCACTATTATAGCAAAAGCTTATAATATAATAATAAAATCACATCTAGATGCTGGCAAATGTTTAATTTTACTTTTATTTTCCTGTTGACACTACTTCAATAAAGCTTATAATGTAATAACAAAATCACTTCTTCGATTATATCATATGTTATAATTACTTTATTTATGTGTTTGTGACAATACTTTTTGTTTAGATTTTTACTTGGTAATTGAACAAAGACAAAATGATGATTTCATTCTATTATACAACCACTTATGATATTTTGAAATTTTGTTGTGTGAGGATTGAGTTAAAAAATGCTCGAACCTCTTTGTTTAACTATTTTTAGTATTGTTGTTGAACTACGACTTAAAAGGTTATCCAAAAGTTCCTTTACCCTTGTATATTATAGTTGACTAAATATATTATAGTCTTTATACAATTTAGTATTATTTTTTGTACACAAATTTTTTAAACGATTTATAAGTTTTAGTTTTTTAGTTTATGATTAATAACTTTTATGTTTCTAGTGATTATATATATTAAAAACTATTTTTCATGAAAAAATAGTGTTATATAATTTATTTATAATTGTGATTGATTAGATAATGTAAATATATTATATTTGCACTTTTTAAATTGGTTTGGTACGGAATTCTTTAATACAGGTTTTCGACTAATCATAATTAAACAATTATTTTTACTAATTATTATCTTACCACCATTCTTGTTATAATTATATGAAATATGTATGAAAGTAAAAATATTTAATGTTTATCGTGGATCTTCTTGGAAGTTGAGAGGGTCGTGACTCCCAAGTTGTATAACTTCCATGTAATTTATGATTTTGGTCCCTCCAAACTTAATGAACATTTAATATATTTACTTGTATATTTACAATTTTATCCTCCCAAGTCCCTCCTAAGATTTGTAACTTATATAATTTATAATTTTGTCCCCTCAAACTTAATGATCATTTAATATATTTAAGTATATATTTATAATTTTATTTTTTCATCCTTTCATCTTCTTACTTCATTTTATATTTATTTATTATTTATTAATAATATATTATTTGACCCTTCAAGATCAATAGTCAAGATTCGTTCATTGTTTATCGAGTAAAATTATCATTATCATATGGTATCCCAAAATTTATATGAGAAATAAGAAACAAATGTCGAAATAGAATTCCAAAAATGGCATTTCTTGTACTGTAAATGAGAATGTGACATTCTGTAAAATAATTAAATGGATTTTTTTTTAAATAATAACAATGAAAAAGTAAGCATTGTTATTGAAAAAGTTTTTTTTTTTTAAGAAAACCTAACCCAATTATTACATCATGATGCAAAATTCTAGCATTTACTTAAACTAATTTCCTTTTATTAAGTGCTAGTTAATAAATGTTGACAAATGTGTATTGTGTCGTGGTTTTCTTTACCCCGATTGACACGGTGCCAAATGCTTTGAACATGAAGATGGAAAGTTGAAATATTTTAGAAGTAGGTGTGAACATCTCTATTATTATTTTTAATATTTATCATAACTATATACCTAAAATTTTAAAAGTTATTAATTCATTTGACATGTTATTGTAGGAATCAGAGAGGAGTTTTAAAAAATATTTAATGTAAATTGGGGAATTGGTCTATCAATTATTTTTAATATAAATAAATTTTATATATTTTTAAAACATATATTTAATAATATAAATATTTTTAAAATTTTTATTTATTATAATATTTTTTATTAAATAAATTAAAAATATTATATTTACAAATTATATAGTAAATTATAATTAATAATTTAATTTTAAATTATAATATTATATGTTATTTATTAATTTTAATAATATAATAAAAAATATATAATATTGATATTAATTTGAGTAAATTAATTTTAAATAAATAATAAATATTAAAAAAAAGAGTGAGTGGACCAACCTGTCCTATCCGCTATATTGAGAGTTGAGATACGGAAAAGTGAATTGATAAAGTGAATCCGCCAATTTTGCTTATTTAGTGAAGAAGAGGGTGAAGGAAGAAACAACAAAGAAATCTTAAGTGACCCTCCAAACACACAGAGAGAGAGAGAGAGAGAGAGAGAAATGGAAGCTGCATGGGCCTTGATTATGATGCGGATAGTGATGATACTGGTTCTGACATGGGCATGGAAGATTGTGAACATGTTATGGTTGACACCAAAGAGGCTTGAAAGGGTTCTGAGAGAGCAAGGCCTTGAAGGAAATTCATACAGGTTTTTGGTTGGGGACATGAAGGAGTTTCTCAAGGCACGACACCAAGCCTTGCTCAAACCGATGAATCTCTTTTCACATGACATTGTGCCTCGTGTCACTCCCTATTTCCACCACACTCTCCGAACATATGGCATGTTTTTCCATTCTTCTGCTCTTCCATTGCACTGCCACTCATCTTCTTACTCTTTTGCTTTTCACAAAGCTACTTCTTCTTTTATGATATTCAACCTTCATTAAATTACAATCACTATAAGAAAATAACGTATTACTGATTGATATTTACCGACAGATTTGTAGCCATCAGAAAATAATCATTATCGACAGAAATTATCGACAGAAATTACCGACGGATATAAAATATTTGTGAAATTTGATGTTACCGACAGATATATTCATCAGTAAAATAATAATTAGTTACCGACGGATATATCCGTCGATAAATCCGTTGGTAATTTATAGATGAATTTACCGACGGATATATCCGTTGATAAATTCGTCGATAAATTAACAATTAATTACCGACAGATATATCCATCGGTAAATTCATCTGTAAATTAATTACCGACGAATATTTCTATCGGTAAATTAACAATTATTTACCGAGGGATATATCCGTCAGTAAAATTATATAATATAATTTAATTATTCACCTAATTAAAAAATAAAATATTTTTTATTTAATAATTTAATTTAATCATAATTAGATTAATTTATAATAATTTATTAAATTAAATAATTTAAAAAAATAAATATTTAATTATATATAAATATATAAATATATTTGTATATTTGTATATAAATATAATTTATTTGTAAATTGTTATCAAAAAAATCTAGTAGCTTAGTGGTTAGAGTATTAACCTCTTTCTCTTAATAAATACTATAAATAAGTAAAATATTTAATAAATAATAAAATTATTTCGTAACACATTTAATTTGTCAATAATATTTACCGATAACAGATTTTTGACTGTCGGTAATTTTAATATTTCTAGTAGCGAGTATGTGTTTTGTTTGAAAAAACAAAGAAAGTTTTTCTAATAATGTTTTATTATAAAAAAAATAGATGAAAGAAAGAATAAAAATAGATGATTTTATCTCTCACGTATACTTTTGCCAATGCATTCCAAAATAAATTGTTTCTTTTTCACATTTAACGTGAGCCTTATTCTTATTATTGTTGGTGGAAAGTAGGAAATAATTCTTTTATCTGGTTTGGGCCAACACCGAGGGTGACCGTTACAGATCCTGAGCTAATCAAAGAAGTACTCGACAAAATTGATGACTTCAGAAAGGAAGTCAGTAACTATGGCAGGTTACTAGCTCCAGGTCTTGTCATCTACGAGGGAGAAAAGTGGAGCAATCACAGAAAGATAATCAACCCTTCTTTCAATATAATAAAGTTGAAGGTTAGTTTTTCCTATACATGTACATTTTTTTAAGCAAATTTGTCTACAATCACATTTAAACAGGGGACTTTTTTTACCGTTACGCTGTCAAAAAATTTCGATTTTATTAAAGGGGTCGAATTTTTTTTTTCTTTAAAATGGGTTAAATGGTAGATAAGATGATTTGAGAGTGAAATCGAGTTTGCTTCCAAGTTCGATTTTGATTTTTTTTTTAATGTGCTTGGTAATATTAGTATTTCACTTTTTTTTGGAAAAAATTGTTTTTTATTTTTTAAAATATATTATTTATTAAATAATTATTTTCAATTAATTTATTAATTTAATAAAAATAAAAATATTTATACAAACATGTTTAAATTTAATTTACTATATTTATATTAAAATATTATATTATTATAAAAAAGATACAAATTTATTATTGAAATTGGCAGTTTCTTTTATTTCGACAAAATGAAAATTTTGTTGTTGTTTATTTTTAACTTGTATATCTATTTTATTTCGAATCCAATTATTTATAGGTCTTCTTAATATGTCTTTTGTTGAAATGAAATAGATATACAAATTAAAAATAAATCAAAAAATATTTTTTTATCAAAATGAATGACATGATCATGTAAATTATTTATTTCGACAATAAATTTGTATATTTTTTAAATCATGTAATATTTTAATATAAATATAGTTAATTAAATTTAATCATATTTATCTAAATATTTTTGTTTTCTATTAATTTAATTGAAAATAATTATTTAATAAATAATATATTTAAAAAATCCTATTAAAAAAAACAAATTATGAGAAACTCGTACCAGGTAGCATGAGTTCAATAAAATAGCATTTATACATAACTCATGCTACTAAGCACGTTTTTTTGAAAACACAATTTCAATCAAAAGTGTGTTTTTAAGTACGAATTCATCCACCAAACTCGTTTCATTTAGCATGATTTAATCCATTTTGGGAAAATTTTAAATTTTTTATCCTCTTTAGTAAATTCAAAATTTTTTTGACCCAGGATGGTAAAAAAGCCAACCATGGAAATTTGACATGAATTATATAGCATGAATATTTAAGTGAATTTGACATGGGAGATTTTCTCACTGTTTCTTTATCGTATGGGTTAACAGAATATGTTACCACTATTCATCTCATGTTGCGATGATCTAATTACCAAATGGGAGGGAATGATGTCTTCGGATGGATGGTGTGAAATGGAGATAAATCATTTTCTTCAGGATTTGGCTTGTGATGTTATTTCTCGAACAGCATTTGGAAGCAGTTATGAGGAAGGAAAAAGGATATTTCAGTCTCTAAAAGAGCAAGGTGAACTCACAAGGAAAGTTATAGTGAAAGATAGCGTCCCTGGATGGAGGTAAGTGAGACTACTATGTAAATTACACTTCGTAGTAGTTTCTAATTTAAGTATGAAATTAAGAGCTATATTGAGTAAGAATGTAATGAAGAGGACCCATAAATCTAATACTTTTAGGTTGATGTTGATGTCAATTCTTTATGAGGGCTCATTGGTATTGTCTCTCTGTGATAAATCCTCTCAAAAATATTCAATAGTGGTATCAAAACTAATGGTATATATATGGTGACCAACAATTTTAGAGTGGTATAGTGTGATGAGACTCACACTTGAGAGGAAGATTGTTGAAAAATTCAAATGTGAGGGTAAGTCTAACATTGAGGAAGTTGAGCAACATATAACATTTTCAGTTGAAGGTTGACAGAAAAATACACAATAACCTAAAATACCAAACATGCAGCAAAAACAATTTCCCTTATCAATGTGATGAGACTCACACTTGAGGTTAAGATCGTTGAAAAATTCAAAAGTGAGTGTAAGTCTAACATTGAGGAAGGTGAGCAACATATAATATTTTGGGTTGAAGGTTCATAGAGAAATACACAACAACATAAAATACCAAAGTATGCAGAGGAAATAATTTCCCTAAACTCGCAAAAATCTATAAGGAACAACAAAAGAAAATGACAAGAATAATCGTTACAAAGACACCAATATTTTTAGAAGTAAAAATCCACGAGTACAAGCTAGTCAATCAAGTTCATTAAGATCAAAACTATAAGTACAAGAGAGTCAAATCAAAATGCACAAATAAGTTCCTACAAGTAACCAATATATAAAAACAATAGTGCTCTCAAATTTGAAGAACAAAGTAAAGAAACCTAACAACTAGCCACAACGCAAGACTGATATCTTCAACCACAAACCTCTAATTGACGATCCCAATGGTCAAAACGAAGACCTTGTGCCGTAAACCTACTGTCAAGATTTCAATCAGATCCAACAAAAATCGTAATTTTACTGAGGCGGCTCGATAAATATGTGAAATTGTTTTCTTTTTGTTTTTCTCTTCCAATCCAAAGGGCTATTACCTCTCTATTCTAACCTAGAAGGCCCCTTCTCCACTTAGGTTAAGTGAGATAAAATTGACTTGACTAATTTGGACTTTTTAGACACATAGTTGGGATTCCAACCCAACACATCTCCCCTCTCACCACTATGTGGAGATTACCACCAATTCGACGATCTCACAATAAGTTTCAAACTTCTACCTTGGAAATGTTTTGGTCATCACATTAGCACCCTTGTTATCTGTATGCACTTTATCTAACTCCAACAACTTAGTATCCAAAGCATCATGTATCCAATAATACCTCACATCATTATATTTGGATCTAGAATGAAAGGTTGGATTCTTACCTTGATGAATAACACTCTGACTGTCCACAAATAATGGATAATTATTCTACACAAAACCAAGTTCCTACAAGAATTTCTTCAACCATAGCAACTTCTTGCATGCTTTTGTAATGACAATGAACTTTGCCTCTATAGTAGATAATGCACACACTTTTTCAATCTTAATTACCAAGCCACAGCTCCCAAAAATGCTTAGGCAACTTTGCTTGACAAAACATACATCTAACTCTTTCAACCAAAGTCATGTTCATCCTCTCTACTAGACCATTCAATTAAGGAGTTTTAGGAGGAGTCTTTTCATGTCTGATACTCTGCTGCTTGTAATAAAAATCAAAGGATCCAAGATACTCATCACCATTATCAGTACGAATATATTTCAGCTTTTTACTTGATTGCCTCTCAACCAAAACATTAAATTTTTTGAACTTTTCAAGTACTTGATCCTTTCTTTGTAGTGCATAGACTCATAGCTTCCTAGAACAATATTTAATAAAAGTAACAAAACAAAGTGCACCACTAAACAAATTTCCTTCAATGGGCCACAAACATCAGAATATATCAATTCAAGTAACTCTGACTTTCTTGAGGGAGGATGTTTCTTAAAGGATACTCTGGTTTGTTTATCAGTCATGCAATGAGAACATTTCTCCAACTCTACACTCTTCAATACCAAAAAAATATCCTTTTTAGCTAAGAAATTAAACTCTTTTTCACTTATATGACCAAGTCTTCGGTGTCACAAAGATGCCTCCATATACATAACATTCACACTGTCCTTAGCAACCAAAATTTTAGTCCAATATAATTTAAAATTTTTCTCCCCTCTAGTCATGACCAAGTTACCTTTAGTGAGTTTCCATTTACCAAAACCAAAGTGATTGTCACAGCCACAATCATCAAGAAAATGCACAGATGTCAAATTAAAACACACATCTGGAGCATGTTTGACTCCTCTAAGTAATAATTGCACTCTCATGTTGGTTTGCAAGCAAATATCACCAACACCAACAACCTTTGATCCACCATCATTACTCATCTTCAACACTCTAAAATCACTAGAAGTGTAAGATGTGAATAATTATTTCCTCGGTGTAACG